CCAGTGCGTGTCACGCGCCTGGGGCTGGCGCCTCCAGTGCGCCGCACGCCGGGGGCAGGGCCGGCCCAGGTTGTCAGTGGGCGCACACAAATGCCCCGGCGGGCGCCATGGCGCCCGTGGGCACCGCGTTGGGGACCACTGCTTTATACGTTGTTGTGGGACTGAAGTATTAATATCAGGTGCATGGACATGTTCTGTAGTAACCTAAATGATCCATTTGTAGCAAAAATCTGAGAAAAATTACACAAACCTATATAGCTGGCATATCATGTACAGAATGTTAAAAGCATTATACAGTTCCACGCTGACCTGTTTAGAATACCTGTATTAGGTTTGTTTTGTTGCAAAACATATGCCGTTTCTGAAAATGAGGAATTGATACCAGTGTCTGACATACTCCTCTGCATCAGTCTAACCTGTATCATCCATCTATTCCTCGTCTTTTCTGAGTGCTTAGTCAGTTGGTGTGGTGGTTTTCTGTTTTGGGCATATGTACTTTAGAGACTAGACTGGAATCTTTACACTGACTTTTACCTGGGACCCAAGTTAGATTTGATCCAAAGAATCCAGATGTTAACACTTTGGATTGTAACAGTTTGTGATGAATTTATCTGCAGTTCTGTCCTCCATGCTTTCCTTTCCAACCTGCTTGAGTTTATTTAGAATAGGACTAGTAAAAGATTTTGTGGCTTTACATACCATAAATGAGACTTGTACGTTTCTGTGGGGTAGTTGTATGTAAAAGGACACTGTTTGAACTGTTTTTCATAGATTTAAAAAATATATTGTTGAGAACCCACTGAAATGTGAAATTGGAACAATTCCATACCTGAGCTGTTTTTCTTCCATTGTGTTAATACATGGGCCTGGGGTTTTTGGGGTTGCTGTTAAGTTCTGACCTTCAAACATAGATTTAGCTTTAGATAAGACTAGTACTAAAGGATTTATTTGTGTAGGGGAGGAATCGCATAAAGAGTTTGACATGTAAGCAGGATTCCAGGTGAGTAGGTACATGCACGCATAGAGAGCAAGCACAAGTTTTCCCACTCCCTTTCAGATTCCTACTTTTTTTGCTGATGCTTCATTGTATGTTTTCATGGAGTGGGGAGAAGAAGACTGCCAAATGGGAAAAATCTAGAGAGAAACATTTTCAGGCTTCAAAGAGAGTGTTACAATCAGTGGGGGGTTTAAAGAAAATAATAGCTATATTGTGCCTTGTGGTTTTGCATTATTGCCCTTCTGTGCATGTTTGATATCTTTGGAAGCTAACTTTGAAAGGGAGGAGAGGGGTATCTCTTTGTTTATAAAGCCAGGGAAAGGGCATATGCACAGCTTATAGAAAAAGCATGAATGAGAAAGTCATCTGAAGTTCTGTAGTACTGGACTGGGGAAAGAAGCTGTTGTGCATACTCTTCACTTCTGAACAGTATTGATTCCACAGGTCCTGGGTTGTGTGTTTGAAGAGACCTAAGTCAAAGTGTCCTATGTTGTATTCTTTGACAGTTCCATGTAGAAGGAGATTCTCTTCTGTGGGAAAGACAGCTAAGTGAAGTAATATATTCAGGCCCAGCTAGTATAGAGGTAAAACCTAATCTCTATGTACATATTTGGCCCCTATAACCGTAACGTTTGCCCCTCTCAAGTATCTAAAAATAGTTCCTGTTTGTAGTATGGTCCATGGGCTAACAAAAGGCACCCATAAAATGGGCACCATGAAAAATAAAACTCCTTTTAAAAATATTAGATCTATATTTTTTCAGTTAAAAAATAAATCAGTAATTTTGGCACAAAAGCTAGCGACACGGTGATTTTTCTCACAAAGACAACAGAGTAAATGTATATTTATAGTCAGGTCCAAAAAGCATTAAACATACAGGAGACTAAGTATGTAACTTAATGCTAAACACTTCATATCTGTGTCACCAGTATGTGCTGACATAAAATTCTAATAATAAAAGTAGATTGAAGCAGTTGTCTAATTTCAAGTATTACTATCATTTTTACTTCAAATACAATTATTTTTATCTTCCTTCGATATATAGGTTTCCACTGTGGAAGACTCACTTGATAACTTAACATTACTTTTTTTTTTTTTTTTGCTTTGTACAAGGTGAATCCATTGATCAAAGTAAGAAAATAAATACCTTCCTAAAATTATTAATGTTTGCTAGAATGACACATTTTGGTTTCTAAATTTAGTTGTTTTAATTCTCATATGGAAATCTTCTCCTTGAAGTGATGTGTGTTTTAGGTGGTAACTGGCGAGATGCTGATATGGAAGGGAAGTGTTTTGGGTGGTGATCTGACCAGATGCTTATTACAAGTGCTAGATTCTGTGAAAACATACAGGTAGATGTGGTCTCTCCTGAAATAGTTTGGCGCTAAATTCTGTTCTGCAAAAAAATAAGCTATAATTTGTGCCTCAATGATTATGTCTACTTGAACTCTTTTAGCATATAATGTCATGTCATGTAATATAATATGTCAATATTGATTTGTTTTGATCAAAAAGTAGAATTGGAATATCAAAAAATGAAACCGGTTAGAAGCATTCTCTTCCCTCTGCCTCTCATGTATGTCTTGAAAACTTTCATGAAGGATGTCTGATTAACATTTGCCTCTGAACACAAATGCTTAAATATTGTTTTCAAAAGTTTGTCGCCGTCTTGTGATTATCTTTCTTCCAGACACTAAATCAGTCTTGATTGAAAGACCTGTATGCCACAGGTAGTTTTTTCAAAGTTGAAATTTTGCATATCTCGTTTGTTTTCTCACCAATGATGTTACACATCGTTGAAACTAGGACAGTCATTCTCAGTAACTGGTTCTCATGCATTAGTGCAGTGCTGGTCTCTTGAAGACGTCACTGCAGGAAAGTTAATATGCTATTTTTCAATGACTTTTTTAAAATCATCACAGTGTTCCTATTTATATTTGTTTATAACATCTTTGTGAGGGAGAGGAAGGACTGAAACAATATTTAACTTAATTTGAGCCTTACATTTTTCATGCATTGCCACCATTTATGACAGAAGGGCAGGGAACCAATTCACTCACTAGTTAGCATGTCTTTTGCTGTGATTACTAAAGGGGATTAGCTTTCATTTAATTAGATGAGGCAATGCAGAGAGTATGAATGAAATAGGTAGAGATTTATCATATAGGTGGAAAAAGGAATTTGAGGCAGTAAGCGCAAATCTATCTGGGAACATTTCCTGGCCAAGGCCTCTTGTGTGCTCAGCATCCTGGATATATGGTATCCAGGAGCAATTCCACTGTCTTCCTTCTCAGTAGATACTATGGCATTGTTGATATACAGATAGTATAATTTGCACAGGGAAACCTTGGCCAAAGAGTGGGTTTGGGTAAATAGTGTGAGGAGATGGGTAGAGTTTAAATAGAGGAGATTCCTTACTGTTGTCCTTTATTTGCTTCCTCTGTTCTTATCTAATTTCTTTTGCAATACTATTTTTTTGCAATACTGTTTTTGTGAAACGGGGTCTGGAGTGACTGCCATAATAAGAT